TCACCACAACATAGAGCGATATCGATGGATACCAGACCGCGACAGGTAGATAACTCATCGATCTGGCTCGACGCTAGGTAGAAAGCCTATGCATGGAAGAAGTCGACTCTTGTTCTCTTGATGAGCAGCTGTAGTGTAGCTCCGAATGGTTGCAGATAAGCAGCGGTTGTCCGTGTTTTTGTAGAGATTTAAATCACGCTTGGTGACAATTTAAATAAATTTGGGTTTGTTTCAATAAAAGTTTTTTCTTGATGACTCCTGCCCGGCTCCGGCCCGACTGGATCCGGCTCCGGAGATGAAAATACAGGGCGCCGAGATCTTGTCTGGGCTCCTTTTTGGGAGGGAGGCTGTTTTCTTTTTTTCAAGTTGTATAGCGCATCCTTTAATTATAATTTCGTCGAAAAAGGGTACTTAATGCCAAAACTCGGGGGGGCTGTACGAAGCTCTTCACTTGTCGCGTTTAGCGCCGACGGCAGCTGCTACACTAGCAACTGCTTTGGGCATTCATAAAAATCGTACATCAACAAGAAAAGCAGAGCGACTCTTACCTACTTTGCACATGTAGAATCGAACTCGTAGGCTTCTAAACCCTGATTTTACACCCAATAGAGCCTTGCACTTGCTGCGTCGGATCGTGAAAAATTGATTCCAATTTATTAGGAGCTTGTATAAAATAAATAGAGCTACTTACTCTTCACCAACCTTTTTTTGACTTTGTCGCGTTACACTTCGCTTCGCTTCTACCGTGGTGACTGGCGGAGCCTCTCACTCTAACCCTCGATAGACAGGCGCGGGCTTACATGCATCTTTTCGCGACCTGGCACACGACTAGGATAAAGCAGTGTGGACGCCTCTCTGACGTGATCACACGCCTTTGCCCTAAGCCCTGAGCTATCTACGACTTTCTACCTGCCCCGATATGTAGACTCGAAACTGAAGCCACGCACTCGCAACTCCAGCAACCGTCGGAAAATGGTAGAGCCTGTGTAAAGCCTGTTTGTTTGTTCAAAATTTCAGCGGAGCGTCTATCTGCCCCGCTATGTAGACTCGAAACTGAAGCCGCGCACTCGCAACTCCAGCAACGGTCGTAAAATGGTAGAGCCTGTTTGTTTGTTCAAAATTTCAGCGGAGCGTCTATCTGCCCCGCTATGTAGACTCGAAACTGAAGCCGCGCACTCGCAACCCCAGCAACGGTCGTAAAATGGTACTAGAGCCTGTTTGTTTGCTAAAAGTTTCATTTTTTTTCAGCTAGCAGACCACAGAACCGGATCCAAATTAGTAAACACCAAAGGTAGTACACTAGTAACACTTCTAAGGCTAGAAGAGGCTGAGTATCTATAATAGAACAAATATAAATTACGAAGAGGGCCACACGGCTCCTTGTGCAGCAGTCCTCCTTCCACATGAGGAAGCACATTTCTTTACTCTCGAGGCTTCGGAAACTATGAATTTGAATGTGCACAACCCCCCCTCACCCTCATTTGTCATGCAAAATGCGGAATCGAGGCTGTGCCGCTTCGCACTGTTTGCATGACAAGTTCTGGCAGCGGCAGCCCAAATAGCTGCACTACAATCCTGTACAAATTTGTCATGCAAAACTGGCATTCTCGCTGGCGCTTGTACTATTGCCGTTCATGCTATACAAGCTAGGGCGAGGGGAGTTGTGCACTACCATAGGAACTCCGGTTGAATAGCCGGCAAGCCGTCCGCGCCGGCGCGCGGACGCATTCACCTACGAGGCGGGGATCCGGGTCGACCCGTCGAGCGGGGCAATGCCGATGCCAGCCGCGCCGACGGACGATACTGCAATAATGGTTCTTCATCACTGCGAGGGAAACTGCTATCCCCGCGAGGGAAACTGCTATCCGCCCCACCAACATCCCCGCGAGGGAAACGAGTTGCGCCAGATGGAGAGGGCTCCTGCTGACCCCGACGACCCTCCGAAGGACAGCGAGCAGCCGGCGCAGCGGAGCGAGCAGAGTGACCCCTACCAACATGCGGAGTCCGTCGAGCCGAGGCCTCCAGCGACTTGGTTGCGTAGGAAGTTATCATAGAAGCAGTCATGGACGACTTGAGCTGGAAGTAGTCCTCGATGGACATCTTTCTTACAATGAAAAATGCCCCCACGGCCCCGGAATTATGATGTAGATGTGCAGAGCTTTCTCATGCATAAGGTTATTTCCAAATGAAGGACTTTTACTTTTTATCTAGTATGCATGAAAGGACTACTAGAAGCCTTTCTGATGCAGAGAATGTACTAGGTGCGGTGCGCAAGGTATAACCTTTTGCATAACAGATCCGACAACTGCTGTTGGGCTCCTTTGCAACACAAATCTGAGCTATTCAGCATGGAAAACCTGTGATGCCGGAACTATACGGGGTATGTTTCTATGTATTGGAAAGGTTTGCAATGCAAACGCTGCCAAGCTCTGGGGTGGGGGCGTTTTTCATTGTAATAATGTCCCGATAATCCCCATAATTGAGTTCACGAAAATCAGCGAGAAATGTGTCACTAAGCCAGTGTGTCCGCCATGGGTTATTTTTCCCGGAACTTATCCAGTGCCAATATGTCTGGGTCTGGAAACTTGTGATGCTAAAATGTGCATCATCATCATCATGTAGTGGACACCCGCTCCCAGCGCCACAGGTCAAGGATCCCCTCCCCGGGGGGTGGGCGAGGAAGCACTTTCGGCGACCTCATCATACAAAAGCCGAGCGCTACCACGGCAAGTCGCCCCAATAAAAGTACGAACCAGTCGGGAGCTACCCACCACACCTGATCAGTACAGCCCGGCCAGCTAGCCGAGCGCGACAGCCCAACATACAGAACGATCCAGGACCCGACCCATTTTACCTGCATGATGAAAACACTTCCGAATGCAGACCAGCATGACAACTTTTCGGAGCACTCTCTCATAGGCAGCCCACATGTCATGAGAAACTGCGTTTTTGCATGACAAAAATGGCTGCGGCTTTTGTCGGTTATGCAATACAGATTGAGATTTCCCAGGAATGTAGGGCTAGCATTACACGTCGCAACTTTCCAGACCCAGACATATTTGCATTTGATAGAACGAGCTGCAACCCATCTGAGGCCATCCTGACGAAAAATCCCCCTCGGGGATTCGGTAGCGAAGCCGCCAACCGTGAACTGCAACTGCTCGTGCTCCTGGTAGTGGCGCCCGCCGTTGATTACCATCGTATGCAGTGCAGATATGTCTGGGCCTTGAAGAAGGATTCGAAATAGTGGCGCGAGTTGCGGATGATCATACAAACGGCTGCGCTGCATGACTGGCAAAAGGTGCTCACTTCTGGCCATGCTGAGAGTCGTATAATATATATTTCTCGTGCAGAACAATAGGGGGCATCACGAAGGGACTGCAGAACCTGTGATGCTAGGCCCCGCATTCGTCTAGACCTCAGGGCCAGGGACCTTGGAAAAACTGCGTGGCAAATAATCTCGGAATCTTCCAGACCCAGACACATGTGCAGTTGATACACGGCAGCAAGAAACAGTTTGTGCGCACGAGTCAAAAACGCAGGTGACCAGGAGGGTTCGAGCGGCATGGGTCCGGACTTGTACTCCAATGTAATGCCAAAAGCAGGACGCTGGGAAATGGTCCAGTAACCGTCGGGCGTCTGGCTGTCCTTATAGATGAACAGGCGATTGAGAGCAAAAAAGTAAAGCCAGGGTGTTTGATGATTTTTTGCCCAAGAGAGCAGGTCCTCCACCTGGTCTACCGCCAGCTGCGGGCTTGTATCAGGAGTTGCGCCGTACACCTGATAAGCATATTCAGCTACACGCGGGGGTCCTGACGCCCGCGCACGTTCTACAAGTTTGTCCCGAGCAAGTTCTACAAGTTTGTCCACGAGTCCACGATAATCGGCTAGCTCTGGCGAGCCGGCGACGACCGAGTGATGTGGACCGGCCTTAGGGTTGCCAAATAACGACCCCAACGATGCGCTGACCACTGCTACCGTCGACAAATGACAAACGAGAGACATCACAAAAAAACGCGCCGGCATTTTTCTTGATGTAGTGATGCCCTTGATGCGCGAGATGATTGAGATAAATGAGATATAATCGAAAAGCTATATAACTTCTACTACTTGGGGGAGCTGCGACTGATCTATATACTCAACAATTGTCAATAGCCTTGGAGGCGATTTCGTGGTAGTGGATGTGCTGACTTGGCAACTTTGTTCGTAATTTGATGCTTTTGTAGTGGTAGTGCTGTAATTTGATGCTTTTGGTAGCAACGACGGAAAAGCTCCTGTTGTTCTTCTTGAAAAGGAGAAAAAACTAGAGTTGTTGCTGATGCGCTGCACTTGATCTGAGTAGAGGGGAAGGTCTAAAATCTGAGGCGGTTGTGATCTTTATGGTGCAACTGTGTTGAGCGTTTGAAGATAGATGATCGTCGTGATTGATTGACTCGTGGTGCGCCCCGGGTCAGACGAGATGCTAGAGCGTAAAACCGAACGATGCTTAAACAAACGCTACAGGTACGGCTGCAGGCCACGTGATCATGATTTGTTATGTTCGAAGTAGTAGCAGTAGCTCTTCAGGATCCGTTTTCATTGTGATAAATTTAACAGGGACAGAAGTATTTCAAGATTTGTACTTGTCAGCTCCACCACGACCTCACGTTTATAACATTATCTTTTATACCGACTCGAGGTTATTGATGTTGAAGACGTATTCATTCTGATCCCGAAAGATTGCTGTTCGTCTTGATCCGTGAATTTTCTCAAAACCACTCACCGATGTCTTGTTATCTAGAAAGGGTTGCGGCCATTGTCTCTCGCAGTAATCTTCACAGCGACCACCTCAACCGATTCACGTTTTCATTTGCTGAGCCATGACTGAGATTTGGAATGGAAAAGTCCACGACGGGGACCTGGAGCATGATCTTCATTTAGTTTATCTCTGAGACAAGAACGACCGCCGCGAACAGGAATACTATTACCATTCAAGTCGATAAACAACTTTGCTGAATACAATACGCACGATCAGCAGGGGGAAAAATGATCAAGGAGCATCGATGAATCGGCACAAATTGTTTTCGTACTTGCGTAAAAATCTTCATGCGGAGTAGACATAGATGATCGACGACTGCAGACGTTGCGGGGGAAGTTGTGCGAGTGGAAAGTGCTTAATGCCTCCCGCCACGACAGCGAGCACCTTCTTGTTTGCCGCGGCATTTATTGTCCGCCCTCACGATCATCTTCACGCACCAACCGCCGTTGTGACGCTGTTGGTTGCACCAGCTACATGCGCCGCCGTCTCGCCGTCGCCAGATTTGAGATGGTCCTTGGTACCTGCGGCCGCAGTGGTCGTCGTGCTTGCGGCTGTATGGAATGCAGAAGCCTGCTCGCACATTATATTCATCTTGCATGATATCGACACGACGCTGGATGCAGTTGTACTTATTAGCTGGCACCTACACTTAGGAGCAGGAGCTTTGGTATGCGTATACGAAAGCAGGAAGATCTACTTCACCATATTGATTTCATAATTCATTTATCATGATGCATTTTATTCTTTTTCATCACATCATGCAGCAGCCCTCCTTCCTCCTTCTGCAAAAGTTTATTGCTGCACATCAACATCGTCTTCTAGACCTGCGCGAAGATGCCTCTGCATGCGGACGGATAAGAGGACGACCCCTTCTGTATTCGCACCCCGTTCTGGTATTTCACAGCCACCTCCTGTCCTGGCTTGCCCTCTATTCCATCGCCGTCTTGCTGGCCCCGCGCCCACGTCCCGTCATACACATGCCCGTCGGGCCTGCAGTTTGTAAAACGGACCAGGAAGTACTTAGCGTTACAATTCTGAGATCAAAGCACACTGCTTGTCGTGGTTCCAAAACGAAAAATGCCCGTAATGAACCCTCTAAAAATGAAAATGAAGAGCACACGACCACGCATATTAGAGTGAATATGAGGACGACGCCGGCCCTCGTTCCTCGCACTACTTACCTTGTGATCATAGGTTAGTACTACACGACGCATGATGAAACTGCAAAAAGTAAAGGCTGTATTATACCATCGCATCTTGCCGCGCCCATGTCGGTGGTTCTCCAGGAAGTTGCCCTCGTTCGATATGCGAGCAAAACTCATCTTGTTTAACTCGAATGCCCCAATCATGAACTTGTGTTGCACATATCGCTTCATGTTGGTGATCATACTCGTGGTGCCACTACCACACGGTAGAAGGTAGCAGTAGCTTCTTTCCTAACATAGGTATCACCAAATACGCTTGTTCCGCATGACAAACATACATTTTATTTATTCAATTTTCATAGGAAGAAACTCGTCCGTTTTGCTTCATTTCGCTCACGTACATGCTCGCCCGTCATTCCACGTCTGCTATGAACTGCAAAAGTATCGTACTAGTAGTAACCAGCCATGCTCCGGCTGCCGCCGGAGCGCAAGGCTGTTGGGCCGGGGCAAGGCTGTTTGCCGCTCGGACCACAACCCCACGGGCCTAGTAGGCACAACGAAACGCACTGGATTCCTGCCGTCGATTTGCGCCGCGCCAAGCCGCAGGACCACTTGCGCGCCTCCCGCGCCTGTGGGCGCTCTGCGCAGGGAGCAGCTGCAAAAAACGCCGGGGGCGAACAGAAGCCGCATGGCGGGAGAGGGTGGCGCGGGAGGGTGGCGCGAGAGGGGTGCGCGAGAGGGTGGCGCGAGAGGGTGGCGCGAGAGGGTGCGCGAGAGGGTGGCACGGAAAGGCGCCGAACAAAACAAGTCCGCGAATGGCCTGCAGTGCGAAATATGGGCACTACCATGCGGATTCGCGCCCGCTTCTTTGTGCTTTTGCCCTCTCGCAGACCTCTCGCAGACCCTCTTTTTGGCCTCTTTTGGGGGTCCCCGCTAATAATCCGGCTATACTCGCGGGTAGAGGTCGACAGAGGTGGCCGAGAGGTGGCCAAGAGGGTCCGCGAGAGGTCGCCCCTTATTCGCAGCACCTCTCTCCACCTCTGTCGACCTCTCGCGCCCCCTCTTTTTGACCTCTCTGCGCCCTCTGTGCCACTTAGGCGGCGCCTAAGGGTGGGCGCTTACTGCGGGCCTTATTCGCGCACCCTCTCGCGGACCCTCTCGAACGGGGTCCCGCGCCACCTCTCCACCTCTGTCGACCTCTTTTCTACCTCTGTCGACCTCTTTTTTACCTCTCGGCCACCTCTCTGAGACCCTCTGTCTACCTCTTTTTTCGCATGAATATAATGTATAGTGATTGCAATACAAATTAGCTCAGCATGACAAATGGAATTTGTCATGCTGTTTTACCTTGAGAACGAGCTTTGTAATGCATAAATGCAATTACTACGAGTACGATACTTTTGCACAGGATATCTGCTTCCCCACGCCGATTTCTCCAGGGAAAAAATCACTTTTTGTGAGCAAAAACAATAAGATGCATATTCGTTTTTTTGTATGTGCGCCGAGGAAGCTCTTCTATGATGATAGAGGACATGCTGGCTCGAATATCGTGCATGACAAACAAACGGCTCAATGTAGAAGTGCTTGATGTAAAGTTATTTTTTGCCTCTGGATAGATGCTGCATGGAGTTGAAGAATGTGCCGTCGTACGTTGATTTCAGGCTCTTGTAGACACCTATAGTATAATTATGTTGTTGTTGGCTTTGTTTGCAGGTACACATCATTTCATGATCATGTGCTGAAGCAGCGCAGCTAGCAGTTTCATTTTCATCATCACCAGCATCAACAAGTTCGCGCTTCAAAAAAGTAAGTACTTCACGCCGCTCTACTGCACCAGCTGGCCTTCTTCAAGCATGACACAAGCATTTATTTCCAGCTTTCAGCTATACCTCTCCCTTGTATGATGTCGTTTTGGAAGTCGCCCTCGTATTGGCTTCCGTCCTCCCAAACGTACTGACCCCTCCCGTGCTTCATGCCGTTGACATACTCGCCCACGTAGACAGATTTATCCTCGAACCACACTTCGCGGCCTTACTACAGTGAAAAATGCCCCCACCCCCAAAGTTGCAAAAAATTATTGTGATGCGAAGTTTCCAAATGAAAACCTTTTGCCATGCATGAAAGGAGTATGAATCTTTCTGATGCAGAGTCTAGGCGTGTATCGCATCGTTTGCATGACAAGTGCCACTCTTGCTGGGGTCTTTTGCAATACAAATTTTTGCTATTCACGATTAGAAACCTGTGATGCTGATAGATGCAAGAGGGCAGATGTTTCATTTGGAAAGGTTTGCAATACAAATGCTCCCAAGTTCGGGGGTGGGGGCATTTTTCATTGTAATAGGCCTCTCCCATGCTTCTTGTCCTGCATCCACTGTCCTTCATACCTGGAGGTCGAGTTCGTGTGGGGCGTATTTTTTATACATTTATTTTCATATGCATAAGCGTAGGCGTTGCTTTTGGTTTTGCTACAGCTACTTGCGAAGCTGCATAATCTACTCTTGTTTCGGAAAACAGCTTGTATTTTTCTAATATTGTGATTTCACACCGACGACGAGCAAGCTGATGGAATCGTCCGTGTCCACCCCGCCGCGGCAAAAACTTCTACGAAGAACTTGTTCATCTTGTAGTTGGTTCGACTTGCCAACCGCACCAGTTCTTGCTGGGTTCTTTCTCGGCGGGCGCCGGCTTGCTGGTCCTGCTCTCCTTCGTTTCTCGTTGCTCTTGCTCCGCCTGCTGTCGGATCATGTAGTAGTTCCGATGCCGTTACGGCAACGGCTGCTCTCTACCGAGAATAGTGATCAGCTTTCCTACCGCGAAACAACCGTACGCGTACTAGGTCCGGGGGGCTACGAAATAAACAGGTTCTTGGACGTGCTTTGGTGTGATGCAGAAGCGACAGTGTCGTGGCTCGTCAAATAAGGAACTTGACCCGCTTGATGTTCCTCGTGCTGTGCTTTGCTTTGGTCTTTACTTCCACAATTTTTTTGTTCAAGAAGGCTGCTGCACCGATAACCGATAACCGCAGATCAGGATGAGGTACTAGAGCAGGTTCAGCTCAAGAATAGAGATGTTCATCCGGGAAGGACGTCGTCGGCTTGGGATCAACATCTTCTGGCACAACTAGACTTTCACCAAAGCTAAGTAACCGCCCTTCCTCAGGTACTCTTCTTGCTTTGCGGCGGGGGTTTGCTTTTGCTTCTCCCGTTCCAGCCAGGGGCTGCTAAACTCCAAATCGACCGCCCAACTCATCAGCAACCGGGCCCATCTATGAAGGCGTCAGGATCGAAATCAACAAAGTCGAAAAAATCAGGAAGGCAGATCATAGTCCTGAAAAGGGTTGCGAGTTGGGCTGCTGACTAGCATGACATAAGGGAGCCGAGCTCTTTGGCCCTAAACTACCGCATGACAGATTCGCTTCGAGAACGGGGAAAGTCTACAAGAACTGTCCCGCGCCGACTACAAACTGCAGGTCTAACTGGCATCGATTTTGTGCATCACATTTTTTTCGATTTTGTCGATTTCGAACCTGACACCCCCATACCACCCGCTGCGTCCGTAGTCTCGGCCGGCGTTGAAGTAAACCGTGTCGGAAGTCGTCTCTTCCAGCCATCCGCAACTGTCGATGCACGCCGGCCCGAGAAAAAATTTCCCGAATTTTTTCGTGTGGCAGTGGATCAGCGCCATCGTTTGGACGTCCGCGAAGGGGTTCAGCGCATCGCCGTACCGTCCCAACCCCGCGTGCTCGATGGAGGAGTAGGAAAACCACATGTCATATCCACTGCAAAAAGCATCGCACTCTTAGTAATTGCATTTATACATTACAAATTTCTTTCTCAAGACAAATCAGCATTACAAATAATTCAATTTGTAATGCTGGGCTAATTTGTAATGCAGTTTATACTAGTGCGATGCTTTTGCAGTTCATATGTCAAAATCGAAAGACACATCGCTCGTCAGTAGCTCGTGGAAAAACAAAAACCGCCATCGCTTGTGGGGGTATCGGGGTTGTATCGACGTGCTTTTCTTCTCGTCGAAGACTCCGTCTAGCTCGTCCGGATGCCCCTCCACGGGTGGTTATGCATTACAAAAGCATCATTACTAGTAGTAGAAATCGCATTACAAATAATTCGGTCAGCATGTTGACACATGGAATTTTTTGTCATGCTGTTTTACGTTGGGGTAGAGATAATTTGTAATGCATGACTGCGATTATAATTGCTACGAGAAGTGCGATACAATTTTTGCACAGGATAGTGGTTTATCCTGTGCAAAAGTATCGCACTCGTACAAATGCTAATGCAAGTCTTGCATTACAAATCTTGTTTCCACGGCAAATCTGCATTACAAATTTTATTTCTCATGCTGAGGAAATTTGTAATGCATTTATACGAATACGATACTTTTGCACAGGATAGTGGTTTCCGGTAGTCAACCGTGGTTACGATCGCGGTGGGGAAGCTATCACATGCAAAAGTGTCTGGGTCTGGAGTGTTGCCGAGTTTGTCATGCATACTTTGCATGACCCAGGATGTCTGTAATGCACGCCCTAGCATCACAGATTTTTAGATGGCTTCCTGATGCCTACTCCGCATGACAAATGCTCTCCCGCCCGCGTAGCACCAACTAGACTCCTCTTGCTGGTCATGCAATACAGATTTTTTTAGAGTCCAAGGTTAGCATCACAAGTTCCAACCTTCCAGACCCAGACATTATTGCATTTGATAGAAGCGGTACAGCAGCAAAATCTCCATCCAGGGCTGCTCACTGCCCAGAACCGCGATTTTCAAATTAATTTCCTGCTGGCCCAGCAACACCGTTTTGTCGTTCTCGTTGTGCCAGGTCTATCAAAATGAGAAATCCCCCCGCCCCATATCAAAACGGAAATTTGTGATGCTGCTTCGTGGCCACAAATCAGCTTTGTATTGCAGAGAGGAATGGCGGCCAGATCCCCAGGCTAGGTAGGGGCTTATGTGTCTAGTTGTTCAGCATGGCAAACGGCTCCCCTTTAGGCCTAACAGCATGACAAACCGCCTCCATAATGGGGCGAAAGCTTCTGCCCTTGTCTTCTTGCAAAACAGATGTGATTTGTGACCTCAAATCCGCAACACAAATTTTTGGACACATACCTTTTCAATGTGGGGAGGGGGGATTTTTCCTCTCAGTAAGGTCTTGTTCGAATTCGCGAAAAACGTATCGCGGTTCCGCATGATCGCCGCGTCAAGAATGAAGACCGTGTCGTCTTGGTAACTGGAAACGGTTTCGTTTACGAAATGGAGATATGCATTGCAGACGTATCGCGCTAGTATAAATTGCATTACAAATCGACTTACCATTACAAATTGAATTTCTATTGCGGATTTGCCTTCAGAAAAATATTTGTAAATGCATAAACGCAATTAAAACGAGTGCGATACTTTTGCACTGCATAGGAGAAACACCAAATCGCTGTCCGTCCAGAGATTCAGTGCGTAGTCGCGCTTGAGCGCTCTCTATGAGATGCAAATGTGTCTGGGTCTGGAAACTTGTGATGCTAAAATGTGCACGATGAAAACGCTTCCGAATGCAGTCCGGCTTGACAACTTCCCAAAACGCTTTCTGATATGCAATCCGCATGAGAAACTGTGTTTTTGCATGACAAAAGAGGCTGCGACTTTTGTTGGTTATGCAATGCAGATTTTCTAGGTATGGAAAGCTAGCATTACAAGCTCCAACCTTCCAGACCCAGACATTTTTGCAATGCATACTCTCTTTTCCAAGATGTTGCGGTAAAGTTTCTGCTTGGTCTCCAGCGCAATCCGTCGGTTTTCCGACAACCCAGCGTGTCATGAATTGCAAAAGTATCGTTATCGTATTCCTATTCGGATAAATGCATTACAAATTTCCTCAGCACGAGAAATGAAATTTGTAATGCTGATTTACCTTAAGAGATGAATGAGAAAGATTCGTAATGCATGACTGCAATACGAGTGCGATACTTTTGCACAGGATACGTGTTGCATCCACCCGAAAGGATTGCGGAGCAGCAGTTTTCCGAAGGTCTGCGCGTTCCATTTGTGCGACAGCTCTTCCTGGAGTGGCGGAGCGATGGGACGATTGTGGTCTTCGAATTGGGTAGTTTCCTCGTTGGCGAAAGAGCCGGGTTTGTAGTCCTCTTGCATCTGGTCGCCTTTCTCCTCGTCATTGTTCTCTAAATAAGAAGGTTTTGACGTACTAGATTCTACTCCATCATCATGAACATGATCCCCCACGACCTCTCGTGCCCAGCTGTCGTTACTGGACTTCTGCATGTAGAACGCGTTCTTCTTTACCGCTTTTCCGTACAGCAAAAGATCGCGTCGGTAAATTTCTGGGATCCTCAAGGGCGGGGGCCACAGGTGCGACTCGGCCATGCGAAGCCCGGGGGACTGCTTCAACAGCTCGCACTTGGGGTAGACCAGTTTTTCGCTGATTTTTTCCATAATTTTCTCGTCTACTACTTGGTGGTGCTCTTGCAGTTGTTCCGCATTCGATCCTATCTCGGTAGAACTTGCTGTGCCGCCCTGCTGTAGTGGCTCTTTATCCGCCACAAGTTCCCGCTGATAGTAAACGATCTCCCGACTCTGCACCTTATTTCGGGCGATTTCCCCACTGCAAACGTCCTCCCCGCACCCGATCCGCTGCAATGGTGCGAGTCTCTCGTAGTAGATCTTCGCTACATTGTCCATGAAATCCCCGATTTTGGACGCCAGGTGGGCGAATTCCTGTTGGATGCGGAAGAGTTTGGTGCGCAGTTCGAAGATGTTTTGCTTGTAGAACTTCGCTATAACAAACTCGTCGATGTACTCCAACTCGTCTTCAATGGATTTCCGCAGCGAGGAGAGTAGTACAGCATTGCTGTCGTCACAGGGCGGGTCATCATGTTGTTCCTCGTGTTCTTGGCCCTTTTGCTGCTGTTCGCCATTCTGTAGTTCCTGTCCGGCATTGATTCGCAACCTTTGTTGTTGAACAAGAAGAACTTCCTGTACTTGCTTCTCCCGCCCCGCTACCACGCTTTTCCTGAACTTCTGCAAATGTTGCCAGTGATGGTTGAAGTAGGTGGTGTGCTCGATTAAAGGGAGAAGGAAGGAATGAAGCGTGATCGGCTGTCGGTGAAATGACTGCTGCTCGTCCTTGTAATCCGTCCCTTCGTAGTTATTCAAGTTCTCGACACCCCCGAGCACGATCCTCGTCGGCGCCAAATTCTCAATTTCCCCCGCAACGTCCTCACCGGTCAGCAAGGTTGTGTTGGTAGTCGGCTCGAAAAATGCGTCCGCGCGCCGTAACGCCTGCCGGATCTGCAGCGCCAGGTCTTCGTGGGTCGAGAGAATTTTCAGGAGTTTGAACATTTCTTTTGGGTGGGTGTAGCGACCGGTCGAAAAATCATGCGTCTTCGCTGGTGGACGTCGACCAAGAACTTCTTGTGTGCCGCCGCTTGATGTTCTTGCCACCGGCCCAACGACCTTCGCAAATTCTTCGTCCGTCTTTTGCATCTGCTGCTCCAGCGCTGTCGCGTCGAATGGAAGGTGAGCGTCGTGTAAAGATGCAGCCGTAGCATGATCATCTCCTTCGTTATCAGAATTTCTATCGGTCGCATTCACCACGCCGAGCGCTTTCCCCAGGTCAATCTTCGAGGCCACCCTTCCGGTCCTGTCCCGCCCGAGCCCGTCCGCGTCTGGTGCAGCGGCTGCATCGTTATCAAGTGTAAAAATGTCTGGGTCTGGAAGAATGCGCGATTTGTCATGCTTCTCTGGCATGAGACTTAAACCTGTCATGCAGGTTACCCAAGATCCCCAATTTCCTGTCATGCAAAGACGCAGTTTGTCATGCAGAATAGGCAACACCTAGAAGCTCAGAAACTTGTCATGCTGAGCCAGCACTTATGGCCTCCTCATGATACGCCACCCAGCATCACAAGTTTCCAGACCTAGACATTTTTACATTTGATAATCGTCTTGGAATAGCAAAGCGGCGTACTGAAAAATGTTCATCATTTCTCCGCTTTGCTCAGCCTTCTCCAGCATCTCCTCTTTCTCCCATATCAAATGCAAAAGTGTCTGGGTCTGCAAGATTGCCAGGTTTGTCATGCACATTTTGCATGACTCCTGATGTCTGTGATGCATGCCCTAGCATCACAGATTTTGTGAGGGCTTCCTGATGCCTATACCGAATGACAAATGCTCCTTCCGTGTACGCAAAACTTGGACTCTCTTTGCTGCTCATGCAATACAGATTTTTTTAGAATCCAAAATCAGCATGACAAGTTGGATTCTTCCAGACCCAGACAGTTTTGCAGTTGATATCCCAGGTGTGAGCCCGGTAGTCGTGAATCAATGTCTGGATGTTCATCCTGTCCAGTTTCGACAGTGATAGAGTCGTGCCGGAAGCTGTTGTACTAGAGGACTCTTTGTTCGAGCTCGACGTGCCCGCTTGGTCCTCCTCGTTTGTGCTTCTGGAGGACAATACGTCAGGACTTGCATGATCCGTTCCGGTTTGAAGAACTGAGTCTGTGGTGCCTCCACCTGCGTCAATCCTACTTGTTCCCCCTTTCACCCCCAAAACCCGACGATCTGGGTACAGCAGCTCCACTAATGGCATCAAAATTCTCCGCAGGATATTCTGGTACGTCTCACACGCGAACCTCGCCACGTCCCACAAATTCGGTTTCGCGGCATGCACCGCTTCATCTACGTTCGACATTTTCTCAATGCCAAAAATGCTGCCGTCGGTATTCTCCGAGCGGAGGCAGGCCTGGTTCAATTTCAGCCCGATGTTGACTTTCTTGCCTGATGAAGTAGATGATGAGCCAGATGATGGGTTTTTTGATGACTCATGATCTCCTTGACTTCCTACTTCTCCTGGTGCTGTTGTCATGTGAGATTCCTGGTCAACATCTTCGTGCTGCTCCACTCCACCTGCGTCCTCAGATGTAGTTCTGGTTTCTGATGGGAGGAGGTTGTCGATCTGTCCATCAAAAAAGGCGTCGTCATCGCTGTCACCTACAAGAAGTTCCGCCATTCCCAGCTTTCCCAAGCAGTAGCTGAGTTCTATCCACTGCAAAAGTGTCTGGGTCTGGAAGAATCCAACTTGTCATGCTGATTTTGGATTCTAAAAAAATCTGTATTGCATGAGCAGCAAAGAGAGTCCAAGTTTTGCTACACGTCGGAAAGAGCATTTTCCATGCGGTATAGGCATCAGGAAGCCCTCACACAATCTGTGATGCTAGGGCATGCATCACAGACATCATGAGTCATCCAAAATGTGCATGACAAACCTGGCAATCTTCCAGAGGACCCAGACACTTTTACATTTGATAAGTTCCGCGGTTTCGCAATCTATGGTCTTCGTGTACAGGGGTGTGTCCCAGCAGCACCGGTTGAAATTCAGAGGTGAAGATGTCATGCTGGAACCGCTAGAAGTACTACTGCCCGGATTATCGAAACAAACGTCGTTTGCGTTCGGACCCTCTACACAGCAATTTTCGTAGTTCAAATGGACAGCCCAGGGGTCGGTGAAGCAGAAAAACTCATCCCGGTAGAAGGTTAACTGGCCGGAAGGCTGGGCGAGGGCGAAGAAGAAGATCATGATGTTGCTGACGGTCAAAATTGTCGCTGCGAGCAGGGATAGAACCAGCGGAAAGGGACGACAGCGACCCGCGCTTCTCGTGCTGGTCGTCCGGAATAGGATTACTGCCAGATGAGTAGTTGAGGGTTTGGTGGAGGTTCCGCGTCCGGAACAAAATAAAACCCCATTTCCTCGTGGTCCGCCTCTACTCCGCCTTCGGTGCCGCATGTGTTGCAGTCGCGGCGCCATGATCTCGGATCCGCCCGGCGTCGCCCTCTCGCGTAGAACTACGTCCTTTGTCAAACAATAAACAAAACCACGGACGCACCAGATAAGTACACGAGGTGGATGTCAAGAAGAAAACATCAAGACGGGGGCTTTCACAAAAACCAGGAGTAAACGTCGAAAGCTTTCATCCCGTTCAAGCAAATTTATGAAGCTGCAAAGAAAACGCAATACAAAACAGGAGAACGCCTACAACGAATAGGAGAAAGATAACATGTGGTCGTGGTAATGCAAGATAAAAACCGTTGTAAACTGATGAGAAGCTACTAGTACTAGCAGCTTCACCTTCAGCTCATCGAAGACGTAGAACAGAAGGGGTTGCGTATGTCATCTGTGTGACGAGGGGCCCGGGGGACAAATAAATCAACGCCGTTGATGCGCAGGTCAGTAGAATGATATTGCAATCTAGCAGTAGTAGATGTTGGGAAATAATTGTGACTAAAGTGCTGATGTGTGAGATAGCTGCGATCATAGGATTAGGCGACAACTAGAGACAGAATCACATTCGCAAGAAAAATCACCACAACCCCAATCAGATATCCTCAATCCCGTTTCATCCTGACTTTCCGTCTGTGTTCCTCAAATTCCACGACTTTCTCGTCCAAGAATCCCACTAGTGCCCGACTTCTCTCCACCGCTAGAGGGAGTAGCAAGTCGAAAATCTCCGTCGCTTCAATCTCCGCGCCAATCACTTCGGTTCCGCAAATTTCCCCGAATTGGTTCACGGCGAGAGTCACAACCCCGTCAGCGAGGAGCTCCTCCTGTCGGTTCATATCGGCGAGAAACAGTTTGTTGTTCCTAGAACTACTATTCCGGCCACTGCCGCCGTTCCCCAATCCATTCCCAACCGAAACAACTCCAAACGACACTGGAATCGGCAAGTGGTGAATGTTCAGCGCGATTGGCTCCCGTTCCTCCTTGGTGAAAACCTGCAAAGACCCGTCTTCCACAATTTGGATCTGCTCCTTCCGAAAAGTTTTCAGCGCCAGCAGGCCCGCGAGAACACAGGCATCCACTAAATTCCCGTCGTTGTTTATCGCGATTACTGTGACTGTGAGTTCCCAACACTTCTCGCCGGAAACTAAACACAACGATTCTTCGTCGATCGCATTCGTTTGCTTCAAGATCCGCTCGATCCGGTTCGTGATGCAGACGGTGTTGACACTGTTCGGGCTGTTTTGCTGTTGTTGGCCACCAGAGGAACTACTACTCTGCACGAAATGCTCGCCGTTCGCAATTAGCGGTTGAAACGCGGAGTCGGCGATGCCGGAAAATTCCACGTTGAAGTTTATCCGACCCTGGTTCGGCTTATCGGCAGCAGGTTTCGTGATTTCCCCCCTGCAGATTCCGAAAACTTTCGTGCAGGAGGATGGTTTTCTGCTCGTTATTGCGATTTCCCCTGGTGTTCTTGCGGTAGCCGTGTTCATTTCATGATTATTCTCAAAGGTCAGCATCACGTGCCCCAAGTCGAAAACCTGCAACTTCGGTTCGCGGAATTGAAACGGGGATGTGCGGTTATCCAGTCGAAGGCAGGGCGTGTCATGGTTGGCAGTTTTCTGGTTATTTCTTTTGCTAGTAGTTTTGCCGTTCAGTAGTCCTTGCAACACCAGTCCCGGGTGGACCGGAATGCAGACGGAGGCTTGCTCGGACATGATTTGTCGCTTTCGTTGGTCGATGAATTTGTCGTGGTAAAAATGGTAAAAATCTCAGATGAAGAAGAAATAATTCCTCGTGACGAGAAGTATTTGCAACGTCAGCGTGCTTCTCCTGCGGTCTTACTTGGTTCAATTATTCAAGAGTATCATGTTCCTGCGAGTGTTCATTTCGACTTCGATAGATTACAACGACGTATTTGGTCGTACAGTTGATCTGTTGTACTTACTTCGTCGCAACAGGAACAGAGAACAGTGAAATTTTGGAGCGAGCCGAGGATCTTCTTCACAAGAAACAACTTCGAGAGATTGGCATCTAAATTTGCGGATCCTTAGTTTTTATCGGGCTCTTCTATCCTTCTGCGCGTACGTATAGTACGATTTTTGTTGATCATTCATCTTCGTCCACACTCAAATATATCGTTTTCATCTCTTCAGGATGGGAACCTCAAGATAGAATAGGGCTCGTGAAAGTCAAAGAAGGGAGTTGCAAACCACGTAAAGCCGCACGGTGGTGAAGCCAGTTCAGGAACCTGCCACTGTCATGACACTATCGCAACGGGAGGACGGGGCGTTCTTCTTTTCGTCGGACTATGCAAAAATCACGTACGGATGATAGTACATCTTCCGCGGGGGCCGGCGCCGGTGTGAAATCACAATTTGTACCAGTATGCATAAACGCATGACCAATCAACAACTGTCGCAACTAACATCATGTTCATGATGTAAAAAAGTATACTCTGATTCGTCGTCCCTCAATTTCCCTTGTCCGTCGCACTTGTCGTCTTGCCACTGCCCTTCGAAAACCGAGCTCTGGTCGGGGTAAACGTAGCTTCCAAACCCGCTCCGCATCCCCAGCTTCAAGTACCCCCGGAAAAAGCCGCCATCCGGGAATTTCCGCTCGATGTAGCCGGTTCGTGTTATTGGATCGTAAGTCGAAGAGGTGGACGGTGAGCCGGCTTGCTGGCTGTTGTACAGGGCCCTGAGATAATTCGCGTTTATTTTCATCTCGGATGTTGTAACAAAGGCTTTTGCCGCTTTTTCAAATCATAGCTAAATCAAGCTGCAACAGGTGACTGCATTGCGACCCAAATACCATCGTGAAAGAGCACTTTCTGGTAGTGAAAAACACTTCTGTGCGTGTATGCTGTACAGAGTGAACCTTTTGCCGTCATACCCTCGGTGTTTGCTATTTTTGTTCTAGATCGATGAGAAATGTGACTGCAACTACTTCGTAGAAGAAGTACGTCATGATTGCAAACTAAATTTATACGCTCGCCCCGCGTCCCAACCTTCACCAGAAGTGACAAACACCGATTTTTGCTCGTCCACTTTGTCAATGGAGCAGCAGGCCGAGGTGGCGGCGCCCATGATGTTGCAGCTGCTATGCAAGAAAAAAACTGTGTCAGTGTAAATTTGTGTTGCAGAAGATGCAACAGAGTTACACCTGTCATGCCAGACAGCCATGATGTCCTCTTTTCATGTGTGTTTTCCCTTACAAACGATGCATGACAGGTTTTCTCTGTCATGTAGAGCAAATTTGTGACGCTGTTCCTCAAAGAAAGTTACACTTACACACTTTTTTTCCTGGATAGCTGCTGTGTGCTTTCTTTTGCGATAAAAACCTCCGGTAAAAATGTCGGACTGGAGCCACAATGTTTTTGGCAGGTCGTGATTCGGTCGCTTCACAAATCGGCTCGGTGGTTACTTAGACGACATGGGGAGATGAAAACCTTTCTGCTGGTTCGGCAACAGGAAAAGTGCCACTAAACAAACATCATGAATGCGGTATTAAATCTTGCGAAGTTGCTGCTCACAAAACAAGTCAAACTCGATAGCTGCAAGGAAAATCACGTAAGTAGATCACCAAACACTCAAAATTAAGGACTAAACGCACAAGAGCTAGTACAGGACTGCGCGTCTAGTCTCTTCGTTGTCATAATTGGCCTCCCTTCGCTCTGGTGTGCGTTCGTTGGTTTGCTATGTTTGTATATGACATAATTTTTTTTTGCGTTTTTACTTTGCTAGTTCGCTCGCCCGCCATTTGAGCAGTGCAGTTTCTCTCCACAAGGAATTTCAGCACCACCGGCAGGTCGTAGAACAACAGAGCTCCGCAAGGGCAATTCCCCTTCTCTGATGAAGGAGGCAGTCGCATCGACGCGGTGCAAGCACCCGTCGAAACCGTCAAACTACAGAAGAGATTAATGGTGTACAACAACTCGCATTCTGTGTCCGCAAGAAATGATGTACAATTTGGTGGACTTTGTTTTTTGAAACGGTGTGATGGCGAATATTGATTTCCACACAAACTAGTGTATACAACAGGGATCATGCGTAAGAATGGTTCTTGTTCTCTCGTACATGTTTATCTATAGGTCAATTTCAAAAACAAAAAGAAACCACGCGAGGTAAACTTTCTTCTTGGAGATCATATCAAGGGTAGAACGACAACGATGGGTTATGGGGAAAATGAATTGTAAACTACTGGAATGAGTAGAAGAAAGCGAAGCCACATCCCTTCGGCTTTTTTTTTTGCATGTACAAATGCGGAGTGGAGTGCTGGCTGCTATCTTCTAACTCGTCCACTTCTCCATGATAGGGAAACAAATTGCTAAATGTAACTGTTGTAACATTGGATCAAAAGAGCCGTGGATTAATTGTTGCGTTGTGTTAAGGTGCTTAAAACTCAAGAGATAAAATTTTCTTCGACCGGAAACGAAATGGAAATGCTTCCTCCTTTCATCCCGACTCCCCCTCACAAACTGTGGTTGAACGGAACGGCGGATAACTGCGAGCCGTTTTCGTAGGTAACCTTCTGCTTGTTTTTCCCACGGACCACCACGGTGCCGTCCCCGTGCATGTGCCCCTCTTTCCAACCGCCCTCGTAGCTGGAGCCGTCTGGCCAGGTGATCTTGCCCTGACCGTGTCGCTCGCCTTCGTGAAAGTCACCCGTGTAGACCTGTTTGGAAAATGAGATGAAATTACGCATGAAAATTGAGTTCTCTGTTGCATTTTACGCATGAGAGGCTGCAATCTCCTTCAATACTGTGCAGACTGTACTGTTACTGTATGCATAATAAATTTTTGATGACTAATGAAACAAGAATAAAAGCCACTAAATTCTACCGCCCCATCATTGTAGGAGTAGGTCCCGCTTCCCTGCTGCAAACTGTCCACAAACGCCCCCTTGTACACTCCGTCCGTGTCGTAAAAAACCCCCTCGCCCTCAATCACGTCGTTTGCGAACTGCCCGACGTAGCGGGTCCCATCCTTCCAGATGTACTATGCATTGCAAAAGCATCGTTATCGTACTAGTTGTGATTGCAATACAAATTCGCTCAGCACGACAAATGGAATTTGTCATGCTATTTTCATCCCTTGGGATGGAGATTTGTAATGCATAATTGCGATTACTACGAGCACGACACTTTTGCACCGGATATGTACACCCCAAACCCGTTTTTCATGGACGATTTGTGGTCCCCGATGTAAACCGTCCCGTCCGCGTGCCAGACTTCGAACCCGTCCCCCTGCTTTGACCCGCCCTGCCAAAACCCGTAGTAGAAGGACTCGAGATCCTTCAACGACCCCTTGCCGTCGCACTTGTCACTCAGCCACTGGCCCTCGTACACTCGGCCCTCCTTGCTGATGTACTTGCCCTGACCCCACTTCTTCTTGTCGATCATCTGGCCCTGGTAGTAGCTGCCGTTCGTGAAGGACTGCTCGGCGGCCGACGGGTCCTTTTCTGCTGGTTTGTTGGCGAAGACGTTTTTTCTGGACGCGTTGATGATTTCCTATCCTGAGTAAAAACGTCCCCACACCAGAGTTGTGATGCAAATCTGCATGCCAAAAAAGGTTGTCATGAGGAGCGCCATGAGAGGCATTGTCTCGTCGTCTTCTGGAATTTGCGATGCGATAATCTGCATGATATGCTAGATCTGTGATGCTGCTGAACTACCTAAACAGGATTACACTCTGAGGAGAAATTTGTCATGCCAAATGACCAAAGCTGGCTGATTTGTCTAGCAGATTTCCCATCTTGACTCTGGTGTGGGGACGTTTTTACAAATGATATTTCCTGCAGTTTGTTCTTCCCATCCTCGTCTTTCAACTGTTTCAGCGCGTCCAGAACTTGCTGGGGAATCTGCTCGGGCTCGCTGCTGAAGCCATCAGCGGAACGCTTTTTCCCGTCCTCACACGCGGAACACACGTTGCCCATTTTGATTCGAAGTTGTAGATGGGCGTTGTTATGAAAAGTGAGGGTTTGGTTGCTGACGAGTGAGAGTGTGCGAGGTGGTAAAATTAATATGGTACTTTCTTTACTAGAGCTAGACAGACAGACTCTCAGGCGCTGCTAGCCTAGTTTTAGTTTAGGAGGGTAAAATTGGGAATAGAATGTCGTGTGCCTGACCGGTGAAGAAGAAGATTAAAGTGAAATTTTGTTCACATTCAACGAGTAAGTAAAGACGATTTTGGTCTCTTCGTTCTACTTTCACGAGTAAGAGAGAACGAAGCCGAAGCTACGATTAGCAAACGGGGTGAGCATAGGCTCAAATTGAACGAGTTTTCGCTTTCTCACAGCCCGAACGAACGGTCGAGAGTACGATTTGGCATTACGACAATGCTGCAGGACGACCGAGCAACTAGCACGACAGCGTGTCCGAAAAATGTGTGCAGGTAGGGCAATCCGAATGTCAGTCACAATCCGAATGTCAGTCACGATGATGCAAATTCGATGCCTCCTTCAGAGACAGCACGCGCGACCATTCGCGTACCGTATATGTGCGACACGACAGGTACGGATGCAAGCGGACCGACATTAAGGAATCTCATCTATTACGCTTCTCAACGATGAAGCAATGCTGCGACTTCTCTCTAGTTTTTAGCTTTACGCACAGGCACAAACCGATTTTTTCTGGTTCCTTTGTGCCATCTTTCTGTGAAGAACAAACAGCAGGCACGAGCGAGAATTATGCGAGTTCTCGCTCAATAGTTGTTCACTGAAGCTGCTGCAGTGGCTGAATATTGGATGCGTAATCCGTATGCCCATGCTGCCGCGTTATGTCCATGTCGCTCCTTTGGTTGATCCTTGCGAAATAAATGCGAATCATGTCTATGCCATTACCACCTCAATAAGAGATGCTAGCTCGTTACATGAAATTCTTATCACCACCAGTTGATTTTCAACCAATTTTTGAGCATCATCCTTACCCGGATCCAGAAAGGCGGTTTGTGGTTGTCAAAGTAGTACGCGTAGATCAAGGCGGAGTACTTTTCCCCGTGAAGCAGGTAGAAGTTATCGATACTGGATATGCGCAAAAACCCCAAACTCTCATATAAATTCACGGCCGCGGTGTTGTAGGGGACGACGTGTAGCGCAAGCGCTTTGATCTTCTGCGAGCAGTACCGCTTTTGGACCGGCTTTGATGTCTTGCGCGCTGGTGGTCCTGCTGAAGAGGTTGTGGGTCGTGGGGGTCTTGATGCGAGGGGATCGGGATCTTCCATGGCTTGGTACAGCAAATCGGAGCTCCCGCCAGTAGTTGTACCACTATCTTCCTCCACTTCCTCTATTCTATACTGGTGAAACGTTGGACACCGTCTAATCACCTCCTGTATCAGCTTCCGTCCTAAGCCTCGTCTTCTCATCTCATCAATGACGCCGAGGGTCAGAATGTACGCGATCACACCACTCCCACAGGTTTCATGATATTTTTCATCGTTGTTTATTCCTATGGTGCGGCTTCTCATGTCACGGGTTGAAGAAGATGGTGATCTGTTGTTGGCGTGAAGACCGTGAGGTGGCGCTGGTCGGAACAAATCGTCTTCTGCTTCGCCGTACAGGTAGTTTGGTTCTTCACGAACAGCACCGCGAGAAAAATCTTGCGGAGTAAATCTTCCATGAGCCTGTTCTTCTTCAAAATTCCCACACTCGGTCTCGCAACTCGTCCCGAGCACGTAGGGCATGATTTCGCTGTGGTGCGTGCACGCAAAAGAGACACAGATGAGACCGAGGAGACAGGTACCGAAATACGCTCCGAGGGTAAGGATCTGCTCGTTGGCAATCGACCTGGAGATTATTTGTAGAATACTGATGCGTTCTTGATGCAGATAGTCGTGAGTCCAGCTACTACAGATGAAACACGACGACTTTTCACAGTTTGTGACGCAAAAACCAACTACAAATCGACCAACGTAGTACCCGCCGATCCATCTAGTACTTCTATACCTGTAGAACCCCTCGTCATACGCGATCGGGAACCATTCGGCGTGCAACGCCCTGCACTCTTCCATGTCCCGTTTTTTCAACTTCTCAAACCGAATGTCACTCGGCGCAGAGGGGCTGTCCCCAACGCGAATTTGGTCGAAAAACGCGGTTCCGTATTCGTGGACTTCAGCGCGCAGTCGGGGCACCAAATTATCCGTGATGTTCGCATACGGTATCGCGGAACTTGTTGTTTTTTCCCCGCCGAGAAACTTCGAAGGGCGGTCGGGGTGGCTGTTGCTGTGGTTTACGCTCGGCATGCCGTAATTGCCCTGAGGTTCCGGTATGTTGCCTTGTCCACGACGAGTAGGCGATGCTGAGTTCGCAGCACTTGTTCTTCCGCCGTTTCGTTTCGGGCTGACACTGCTGGAAATAGAAGACACGGGCGTTCTTTCCAACTCCTCGTCAGGCATCGAGTATTCCGTATGCTGTCCTCCTGGAAGGATCGGCAAAACCGGGTCAACGACGTTGTGGGCGGGGTCATTGTGGTGACTTGGCAAAGAGGTAGAATGCGAGTATGGGTCTACCTGTTGTTCTCCACTTGTGGGTAAAAACTCGCTCGGCCGTGGGTCTTGGCTAGGTATCCGGCTGGGATTGCTCGTTGATGCAGAGGACAACTCGTTCGGGTTCGTCAAAGGCTGATTATGGTTCCCGTACCCCCGCCGCCCAGGAGACTGCGTGCTCTGGATGAAATAGGGGTCGGACTGCGGCGGCGCGCTCTTGTTCATCATCTGTGTGGGCGCTGGATAGTTGTAAGGGTCGCTCCCCCGCGGCCCCCGGTGTTGAGAAGTCATAGACGAAAATGTCTGTTGCTGAGGATTCGGGTTCATGGAGGTTCTTGCAGGGATCATTTTACTGCACGCGGGTACGACAATCGCAGGGCTAGCGGTAGCGATGACGCTGGTGCCAAAAATGCATGAAAGAAAAGAAACTAAATACGAATGGAACCACCACGAGGACTTCGTTGGTGGTGTAGTATAGAAAATGGAATAAAAAGGATCGCTACAACAGGAGACAGAATGTCAACAATGTGTGTTGGAGTCGACTAGAGCATGCAGAGAACAAAAAATAAAAAGAAGTCTGATCAGAATACTAAAATGGACCCATCACTACACGACAGACACGATCTTTCGTACTTATCTTGTTCCCGCTCCTGCTTTAGTGATCTGTCAACATCGTGATAGAAAGCCATCAGCTGAGTACTTAGAAATAATCGGGGGAACAGAGCACCGCACTTTTGCAGCTCACGGTAAGTCCTTCCTTGCCATAGGAGAGTCGCAGTCGCACACAGAATCATGTTGTTCTTGACTACATTTTCATTTTACAGAGTGCATTTTCGTGTTTACATTTGATATTTGCGAAGATTTTTTTGCTGCAACTGCCATTGCGAGCGTTTTAACTTGCGTTTGAAATTGAAATACACTCAGAACAACCGCAACCTCCGAGAAGGAGATATTAAGCGTAGGTCCGGTTCTACTTGGATAGTCATGCTTGCTAGAGTAAAAAGATAAAGAAACGTTAGAACTACATTTCACATGTGTGATGAACATTCTTCGAAACACGATGCCTCCTGTGACACTTAGACTAAGCAAAGGCTCTCTCAAGTGGCTGTGTATCTTATCCACTGTACTAGGGGGCGGAAGTAAAAAACTCTGCCGGGGAACAGTGTGGGAAAGTTTTGGTACTTAAAGGGGTACAAAAAAAGTTAAAGAGACGTGGTCCCGCCCGCCTACGCCTTCTCACCATTTTCGTACCGGACCTGCTTCGTCTGCCCGGTCTTCAGATCCGTCTCCTTTCCGGCACCTGATATAGGTTTGTCATGCAGAAATTGGAAAAGTGATCGGATTGGTTTCCTTTCGTGATGCATCATACATTCGAACTAGTAGCGCATCATCAGAACGGCTCAACTTCAAATCTGTACTTCGAAATAGTAGATTTTATACCGTGTCTCAGCCCGTCGTTAAACTGCCCCTCGTACACGCTAACCCCCGTAGTGGTTTCCTTTCCCGTCCCGTGCTTCAGGGTTTCCACCCACTGGCCCTCGTACGTGACGTTCTGCAACACGTACTTCCCCCTGCCGTGCTGCATGTTGTCAAAGAACTGCCCGGAATACACCCCGCCGTCGGTGTCCTTTAAGACACCCTCGCCCTGCACGACGTCGTTTTCAAACTGCCCCTCGTAGCTGGAACCGTCCTGCCAGATGTATTTCCCCTTGCCGTGCTTATTGCCCATTACGTGGTTCCCGACGTATTTGGTGCCGTCGTCTTTCCAGAGCTCCTCGCCAAAGCCGTGCTTCTTCCCCTGCTTCCATTGCCTGATAGATTTCATTTTCATTTTGCACAAATGCAGGACAACAGGAGACGGACTGTCATGCAGAACGACATGACGATGCAAAATGAAATTCATTTTCGCATTGGTATTGATTCAGCATGACAAAAAGTTGTCAAGATTCTTGTTAATCAAATTTATTATACCCTGTGTAGACTGAGTCTTTGTCGGAAAATTTTCCCTGGCCGTGGCATCTGTCCTCCCACCATTGGCCCTCGTAACTTGGTCCTGCGTTGTAGTTACATACGCCCTCGCCGCACCTCTTGCCCTTCAGCATTTGGCCCTGATAGTTTGATAGAGTCATGCTGAATAAAGTGTGATTTTTTCGAACAAACTTCATTGCAACGCCCACGAAAGTTTGCGACAAAAACCCCATCACCTGCTCTTGCGAGATGATGAACTCATCCTGACAATATGAAAATCCAATCAAAACTGTACCTGATATTTCCCCACTGGGTACACCTTCTCCGTGTACTTGGCTTCGCTTAGATTTGGCTTGAATTCCCCCTCCGCGGAGTCGTATGGTATTGGCTTCTGGCTTATCTCCAAAGACTCTCCCGCCTGCTTCTCGCCGCCGCTGCAGCAGGTGCTAGCGGCCTGACCCATTTTGGAAAGCGGATTTTTGCTGAAGGAGGAGTGGGATAAGAAATTAAGCTAGTTCAGGTACGTTATTGACTTCTACACGCGCGGGAAGCGCGCTAATGGGGGATCGTGATGGTATGTGTGATATTGAAAAGGAATCTTCTTCATCCCGAGGAGGATTGAGACCTGCATTGTTCGTTATTGCAAGAACGTCGGAAGCTCCAAGTACATTATTTCCATCGCGGACGTTGACCAAAAGCTTTGCTATCTCAAAACTTCTCTTCGTGTGACTGCAATCCTACTTTGGCACGAGATGAACGAAGTAGGACGACTAGAAGTGGACGATCGAGGAGAGTTCGAGTGACAAGCACTCCCTCACACAACTGCACGAGACCGATGTTGCATACGGTAAAGCTGCTTCTGTCCTCTTTGACACTGAAGTAGAAGTACCACGGACACGATTCATCGTCACGAGCCGACTCTCTCTCTTTTCCTGTAGTACCATTAACGACCGAACTTTTGCTTTGTCTCCGCGACAACAGACAAGTTTATTAAGTACTTCCGCACGTTACTGGTGAACGACTGTAAAAAGCAACAAGTCGCACGCCCAGCACACCAATGCTGGGGTGCACCTGCACCGTAATAGATTCTAGAGCAGAATTAACACAAATTGACATTCCGGAAAACGCGTTCTATTTCGATAAATCCTCTTTCTTCAGATGAATCTAGTGATGGGGATGGGGAAGACAGCATTTTAGCAACATGTCGATATTACTCGATGGGGTCAACTACATGCCATCGGAGCCGGTCTCGCTGGTACGAAAACTACAGTCTACTTATTTAAATACTCGCAGTAGACACAGCAGAGAACTACAGCCCCCCGGGTCTGATCCTCCTTTTTGGCTTGATTTTTGGTTTTGGTTTCACTTTCTCCCTCTTCTTGCGCCGCTTGTCCTTCTTGTCGTCATCCCGATCCCGGCTGATGCTGCGGATGATAGCGGTCGTGGCGTCTTCTTCATCTGGGTCCACGCCGCTTTCCCGTAGAAACACCTTCCGCGATTTCGATGAGAAATACTGCCCACCAGCAGCGTCGGCACCAGACGGGTCAAGAACCCCGCCGACGAGACCACTTCTACGATAATTCCCGTCTTTATTGCTTTTCCCTCCAAGACTTAGACTCCTGTACAGGGTGCTGAAGTCTTTCTGCGTCGAATCTAACCGTTCGAAGACCCCGCGGTTTTCCAGACTAGATTTCCTTGTTGTAGTGGTCCTCCGAGAAGGTCGAGAGAAAGTCGCTGTGTCATCATCGTCCATTAATTCCCCTTCGCTGTACCAGACTTGCTTCTTCTGGAAATCCAACACATTCGGATCGTCCACAGCAGCGGATTTTGTCAATTCCAAGTGTCCGGGCCCGTCCCGAGCGTTGTCGCGGAAGCTGCCCGTGAAAATTTCCACTTTGGTGCGAGTGCGAGTGCCCATTTTTGCGTTCATGGTTTTGCTGGTGCCACCAGTTTGGTCGGCGTTTGATGAAGATGTGTCATTTGTCGCACTAAATGCGCTATCTAACTTCCCCAAATCATGTAGCTGCTCCTCCCAACAAATGGCTTCCCGGCCGACCCCGTGTTTTCCGCCTTCCTGCCACTGGCCCTCGTAGGTGGTGGTTTTCGTGCCCAGGAGGATTTTACTGCTGGAGGTTGAACTGCTTTTCTGGTTCTTCGATTTTGATGCCCCCTTCGACATGTCCACCAGCCAGACTTCCTCCACCACTTCTTCCGTCCCGTTCCCACTCGGCTCGTTCTCCTCAAACAGACCTGTGTAGATCGTTTGGGTCTTGATCACAAACTTCAAACCCTTCTTCGCGAGGGTGGTTTGGAAAAGCGATTTGCGCTCTTCGACTGTGGTTGTTGTTGGTAGGGTTCCGAGCGTGGAGGGCGTAGTTGTTTGTCCTACGGCAGCTGCTGTTGGCAGGAAGTTGTCCTGGCGAATCTCCTCCAATTGCTCGAAGACTGCATTCACGTCCTCGTTGTCAGAAAGGGCGGCGGTGTTATTTTTCTCTCCAGAACTTGAACTACCACCCTTTTCCAGCTCCACCTCGATAATCGAAATCAGCATCCCCTGGCCCTCGATCACGTCAGAATCAAACTCGCCCTCGTAGTAACTCTTGAATCTCGTCGTTGCGAGTCCTTCTTTCGTCTTGGTATTCCCGTCGGAGAAAATGTAGCGACCTTTTCCGTGCTTTTCTCCTTCACAGTGTTGCCCGATGTAGGTCTCTGTTTCGATCAAAGTAGTGTTTCTACCAGAACGCTGATGTTCTGCATGCGTGCTTGCCGCGTCTGCCTGACCGGGAGCGGATTGCGGTGACGCTGCAATTGCGTAGTACTTTTCAAATCCGAAGCCGTGCTTCTCCCCCTCCCGCCATTGGCCCTGGTAGGTGGAAAGCTCATCTTGAAACAGCCCGTCCCCATGGGGTTTATCGTCGTACCATTGGCCGATGTAGTAGATGTCGCGCTTCGGACGAATCGGTTTTGAAAGACTTGTTTCTTGTTCTTCCTGCTCAACACCCGCAGTTGCTCTACTTCCTGGTAGGAAAGCGAAAGGATTCGCCGCATCTTGCGAAATTCTCTGTATCTCGTTGAGTTCAAAAAGCTCCATGTCCTGCTTGAAGTAGGTGCATTTCCCTTGACCGCAGCGAAGTTTGGTAACGGCTTCATCTTCTTCCTGATCCGTGTCTTGGTCTTGCTCTGCCCCCGTTCTACTTCCCTTGTAGTCCTCGTCGGCACCTTCTAAGTCGTCATCCCTGGTTCCCTTCACAACCTGCACCTGCCCCTGGTACAACCCGACGCCTTCAATCTCCTCTACCACGAATTCCAGTTTTTTCGCAATTTCCAAGGGGAGCTCAAAATCCTCCTCTTTTCCGAACTCCCATTCCAATTCTTGAATAGACGGATCCAGCTCCGGCAGTTTTGGGAGCGGTAAAGGCCTCTGCGTCGGAAGGGCGTGGAACTCGTTTATTTGTTTTGTTCCCACCTGCGTGGCTGAATTGGATGGAACAGGTGCGTTCTTGCTGTAGATTCGCCCGGCCGCGGAAGCCTTGGACGAGCCTGTAGTACTACGTGGTCCTGACAGGCCTTGGTCGTTCTCTTGGTCGTGCAGCTGACTCTCAATGTCGTCGCTGAACCTCACTACTGGGCTGTAGTTGTTAGCTCCTCCAGCTCCAACCAGTCGTCCCGACTGGTCGTAGCGCAGTGAGCTCTTCGTAGCAGGACTACTTTGCAATTGCATCTGGGAAGTCGTTGTGGTTTGCCGAGTGCTTCTCGAGGCTAGACTGTCACCCGCACGACTGGAAAATTTCGGCTTGTTTTGGTTTATTTCATCATCGTGGTCGAAAGTGCAGACTTTGACTACCTCATCCACCGCCATCTTGCTGCAGTTCTGGCAGCTGGAGGCTTGGCCGTTGCCCATGATGACAGCTTGATAAAGCCGTGCGGCAATGTAATAGAAAAACAAAAATTGGCGCTGGAGGGGAAAGGGTACTGTAATTTAGCGCAAGTTCAAGTTGTACACTGTTTAGGACGTCTAGGGTAAAGAAGTCAAAAATGGGGTTTGATTGAGGTCCTGTTGAATTAATTTCGATCAGGAATCGCCGGCGTTAGATTTTTGTCGAACGTCGACAAAAAACGTCGACAAACTGACCGCGGCTTGGAGGACTCGCTGATAACAACTCCAAATGGCTCTTCCCGGCGGTGCAGAGGCCAATGGCATGAAACTTATCTTCCATTTTTGCACCACGAAAGGACGACTTTACCGATGAAATAGTCTTCCTCTCTCAAAAACCGACATTTGAAATGAATAAACGCACGACGAAGAACCAAAACCGATAGTTGCCAACAAGCGACGAAAGTAAGCATTCAAACTTTTTTATTTTTTTTGTCTGACCGACCGAAGAATATCGCGGGGAAACTACCGAGACTCAGCTGAAGCATTCAGACGACAAATGCGCGCAAGTAGAAACTTCTACGACGCATAGTGGCCTAGGCCTGCTAAATAGGAACGAGAAATACAACACACCACGAGCTGCCGGCAGAGAGCGAATACATAAAACCCGAACATGCGGCAAGAGAACATGTATGTAAGTGCAAGTCCCGGTGCTGCAATGCATGAGTATAGAAAATAGAAATACCGATGAGGTTGATGCGTCGAGTGTGTGTCTACATGAAAAAAATGAATGTTGTCAGCGCTTGCGCAAAGGCAGCGCTAGCCGGCTGTCAAAATACTACTACTGATTCGAGGTACTCACGATGCGTCTACTGTGAAAAAAATGATCATGCCATGTGTGTGTGTGTGTGTAATTGGATGTGCAAAGAACGAGTAAGTAGCGGTTGTTTCTCGGGGAAAAAGGTGAAACTGAAAGGAAGCCGATGGGGTGTGCGAGATGTCACATGTCGATGACAAGGTCGAAGTAGAAGAACTCATTCACAGGGGGGGGGGGGAATAAGCCGATGGAGAATCTTCTAGTACGTAATGATGTTCTAATGGGACGAAACTTCCGGAGGTGGGACTGACACTTCAATCAAACAGATCTTTAAATTTTCGCTTACGCGGAAGACGGGTAGGCATGATTTTCTTGGTTGGGAACTTTAAAGAAGTACTTACGCAAAAAGCTCTTTTTCTCTACTACTTCCCGCCCGGCCCCACCAAGCTCCCCTGCGTGACCGCGTGTGAGATCGGGCCCTTCCCCGCACCACTTCCCGAACTCGCAGTGCTCTTCTTCGCCCCCGCTCCCGCACTGCCACTTCCTCCCGCCTTCTTCTCTTCCGCGTCGGCTTTCTGCTGCTGCGCTAGAAACGCTTTTTCGTCCTTCAGCTTCGCTCCCTGCCAGAAGTAAACAACCGATTCCCGCCCCTCCTTGTCGACAAAAATTCCCTTGCCGTGCTGCACGCCGTTCTTCCATTCCCCCTCGTACTCCCGATCGTCGGGCCACCACAGCGTGCCGTAGCCGTTCACAATGTCGTCTTCAAATTCACCCTCGTAGATGTTACCTGATGAGGGATTTTCATGAGAATGCATTTTGACTATAGTTTTGCTTTTACACCAAGGTGAAGTCAAACATAATCATCTTGCTTGTGTGCGACGTGCTATGCTTTATTGTTCTCGTCGTTTCATAGACATCAAAAGCTGCTGCTGCGGCCTACGAGCTGGTGCGAGAAAAGAAGCTAAGCATTTGCATTCTATTACCACTTCTCCAGATGTATTTCCCCTGCCCGTGTTTCAAACCGTTTTCGAACTGCCCAATTATCCTGTGCAAAAGTATCGTACTAGTATAAATTGCAATACAAATTAGCTTAGCATGACAAATTGAGTTTGTCATGCTGTTTTAGCTAAGGAAGGCGATTTGTCATGCATATCTTGAATTAGTACGAGTACGATACTTTTGCAATTCATACCAATGTACCGTGTACGGTCGTCAAACCAGATCTCCTGGCCAAACCCTGACTTTTTCCCATTCACCCACTGCCCATCGTACTGCGACTGTTCGTCCTTAAACGTGCCCTCGCTGTCGTACTTATCATCCCACCAGTAGCCGGAATAGCTGATATTCCCCGACGTGTATTGGCACACTCCGTACCCATATCCACTGCAAAAGCATCGCACTCGTAGTAATTGCAACTATGCATGACAAATCAGGATTCTTAGCAACGTCAGCATTACAAATTGAGTTTTTCCTTCTGAGAAAATTTGTAATGCAATTTATACTAGTACGATGCTTTTGCAATGCATAACCCGCACCTCTGCCCGTTCTTGTTCATCTGCCCGATGTAGGTGCCGACGTTGTAAACTCTTTCATCCTCGAAGCACTCACTGTAGTCCCGGTTGGAAGATTGCGTGTTTTTCTTCTGGAGTTGCTGGTACAATTCCTCATCCGTGATGTTCTCATTTACCGTCTTGCTGTTGTGTTTCTGCATCGCCTTCATGTGGAGGATGAGCGGGTAATGGCGCGCGAACAGCTCCTTGGTCGTCGCTTCGGGGGCGGAGACCATTTCTGCGCAACACCCATCGGGCTGCGGCTCGGTGAACAGGGTTTGGCCCATGATTTGATGCGGAAGCCACGTTTATTTATTCCGACAATCGTACCGATTTCTGCGCGGCGTTCCTTCGGTGGTGAGCGGTGATGTCAAATTTGTCGATTCTGATCTAGTAGTCAGTGACAATCAATGTAGCTCAAAACATCTACATCATGGTAAAGAGGGGAAAAAATGCATTTCGCTGGGGGCGCCAAGGTCAATCCTAGTGACGGGAAAATCTACGCTACTTCAACGACTTCCTGATTGCTTATTTCGAGGAGTCTTATTGTTTGACGATGGGGAGGCTGCGTCAAAGTCAATTGCTGGACACGATTTTAGTACTTTTGGTTGCTGACATCAACGTCAAATTCTCTACACGACAAGTAGCAGTAGGGCAACTTGCACGAATACGACTTTCCTTCGCTATGATGTTGCACGATTTTAGTACGAAGATGCGAATTCATGATAGTACACCATACCTCCATCGCACGAGGAGGAGTGAGGCAACTACGGTGATGACTAGTAGTACCCGTCTGACACTGACTTATTTAGTACACATACGCTGAATGATGTCTGCAGGGTCATGCTTCAAGGAGTGCTCAGGTTGAGATGGAGAATTGCCATTTTTGGGTACGATGGAGAAGACGAATCAGAATTACCATTTTTGGGTACTTAAATAGACCGACACGACACATCAAGATCTACTTCTCGATTGAACATACTGAGCTGTCACATGCGGAACACTAACGATCTGACGCAAAATGCTAGCCAGGGCGCTGCGCAATGATTCGCCGGCTCCCTTGATATAGCCGCAGCGAGGATGAAAAGCCGACGGCCATTTTTATGTATCGAGATACATTTCTCACCTGTTGTTGACAAGCTGCTGCCATCTCCCCACTTTTGTCTTGCTGGGCGGATGATCCGCCCAGCAAGACAAAAGTCTTTGCTTCTTGAATCGCCCTTGACAGTAAAACGAGCTGTCTATATTTCCAAAAAGTCATAAAGTTCATCCGAAAGGAAAGAAAAAAGTGAAAGAATTGCTCTCTATAGCAAGCTTTGGACCACGAGATCATGAAAACTTGCGCAAGATCAGGCTCCTCTTTCTTTTTCTTTATTTTTGTACATGGAGTTTGTTTTGTTCATATCAATAGCGTAAGAGCTGCTGTAGGCTTTCGTGGCAGGCCAGGGTTCTTGAACTCGGAAGAGTCAAACTCTAATTCATCCGAGACGCGTCTCACACCAGCAGTTGGCAGTTTTTTACTATGCTTTTGTGTTCTTTAGGTTTGCAAAATCCAAAAGGTTGGCGGTCATTTGTAAAGAAGTAGCGAGGGCACCACAATAACCCTGTTGGCATGAACAACAGGTGTCTGTTAGTAATCGTCCACGAGAAAGCTCCGCGAGGCAACATTGAAGCCTGTGGAGAAGTTGATACCCTCCTTTATCCAGCGAGAAGTCTGTGCATCGTCTTCTTCGCTAGAAAAGGGTGCCTCAACGACCCCAGGCGCTCGCGACGAGCCCTACTAGCGCGACCGAGTTGAAGATGGGTCGATAGATTTCATCCCCCGCTTCTCTTCTCTATAGCTTTTAGATACTTACCTGGAGACCGCGCTCTCAGTTCTTGATGTTTACTTATTGGAAGTAGCTGTGTCAACAAATTGTCGTATCTGTGCAACAAGAAAGAAAGTGACGAAAGAAAAATCATAGAAGCGAATATTTACAGCGCAGAAGCAAAAAGTCAGTTTTTAGAGCAAACGAACAAACCTCACGAGCTCTAGTATCATACACAGTTGCTTTATCTGATGAAAATCTTTTATGTCGGGATGAGTTAAAATCTCCCTGACCAGCCACGGCTCGATTACAACAAGAAACTTCTTTTGTTCGTCTAAAACCAAAACTACAAGACTCGGATACTTGTTCGAAACTCATTTAGGTGTTAGAGAAGGATGAGCACTACTGCTTCCCAGTACAGAAACAAAGACAAGCACTAGACTGCTCCATTCCCTCATTATCTACTCGGCGTATTTGTAGTTTGAGTGTTGAGTTGCAATGTATTTCTCATAGCAACTTACATTTTGTGCATTTTCAAGAACCACTCACGCGACTCTAATATTATGATTGCTGCTCATACAGGGAAGCGTTCCACGCATCGACGTCAATTATACAGTCTTCAATATTTTGCAGCCGTGAGCCCGTCCTGGGTATGCCACCACAGGATTCGGGGTATGGCGTTCTCAACTGTTACATCAATTTGTGATGCACGAATGAAAAGAGTGGATGGTGACCTTGCGCGTCTTGCATGGCAGATTTGGAACAGTTTCTCAGCCTGTTTGGCCCTTCAAGAATTTGTCATGCGAAGCAGCTTGACCGTGTCGGTTCTGATTGTAGTTTTGCATGACAGATCCTGTAGCAGTTGAGAATGTAACATTTGAGAACGCCATACGGAGACCGCCGGCTCTGCGGCGCACATTATGGCGGTAGTCACTTGCCCGTCTTCTTGAAAAATCTTGATTTTTCGCAGCCCCGGGGCGTAAATGTGCATTGTGTAGGCTGGTTGGTCCGTGCGATTTTCGATTCGGTGGAGGGCAATCTCGTTGTTGGCGTAGCCGACCTGATAGTTTTTGTTTTTATACTTTTCCAAGCACAACATGCAATAGACAATCCCTTGATAGAACGAAGTGCATTTTGCGATTGTTCGTCTTCTGCGTGACAATAAGAAAGAACCGAATGGTACAAGTACTTACCCTAACAGCATCAAAGCCGATGATCGTTTCTGCTATCCTCTTCAGGGGCGCGCATTTCCCCTTTGCTGTTGTGCTGTCTCTCGATTCGTGCTCTAAAAACTGCCGATCGAACTTGGGCATTTGGTACTGCACCTCCACTACTTCCCCGGCGACTGCCACTACCCAACAGGAAGACCGGTCGTGACAGTGGATCGAGCTTTGGCAGTGCGGGGGCCAACACATCAGTAAGCAGTCGAAGTTGTCGTTCTTCATGATGAGGTTCCGGGTGTACTTTTTCGGGTTTTCCTCGTATGGATTGCAAATATGTCTGGGTCTGGAAGAATGCAAGGTTTGTCATGCTTGTCTGGCGTGACTGAAATGTTTGTGATGCGTGACCAAGGAGAGAGCCTTTTGCCTGTCATGCAAAGACCTAGTTTGTCATGCGGACAGCGCAACACTAAGCAGAGCAGATATTTCTCATGCTTGGCTGTGCATTACAGAGCATTCACTATTCATCCCAACCGAGCATTACTAGTTTCCAGATCCAGACGTTTTTGCATTTGATACCTCGTCCCAAGAGACGTATTTCTCCCACTCGTGCCGTCTCGGAAACCACCGCTTGCATTCCTGAGTTTTTTTTCGAAATTTGTCATGCTTATCACGCAACCAAAACGAAATTTGTCATGCTTCTCATAGTTGTACAAGAACGAACACCTTCTATACCTCAGCAACCTCCTTGACGTTGTGTCCTCGGTAGTTCTGCCCGATAATCTGTTGTACAAACACCTGCAGGAGTGATTGCAAGCTGTGCGTGCTGGGCATCAGCGCACCTGTCGCCTGAAAAGACGAACTTGTCGTGATGAACTGGCCCCGTCCCGCCATCGGCCCCAGTCGAAACGACGGCCTCCCGTGTATCGTGCCCGCGACATCTTGCGGTGTTGTATTTTTGTCCTTCTCCTTGTCCGAGCAAGCTGACGCCGCGCCGGTAGTTTCCGTCGCCGTCTCTGTTGCGCTATTTGTGGATGGTGTAGAGGAGGGTTGGCGATCAACCACGGAGGTGGGGGATTTGTTGGAGGACACAACTTATGCAATGCAAAAGCATCGCACTACTAGTACAAATTGCATTACAAATTTCCTCAGCGTGAGAAATGGAATTTCTAATGCGGATTTAGCTTGAGAAGGAAATTTGTAATGCATGAATGCGATTACAACTACGAGTACGATACTTTTGCAATGCATACAACTTCCGAGTAAAACACCTTGGGCGTGCTGTTTGAAGACGGGTAGTCGTTCGCGTTCAGGTGATATCCTGTGCAAAAGTATCGTATTCGTATAAATGCAAGTCTTGCATTACAAATTTTTTTCCGAAAGTAAATGATCAGCATGACAAATTTTATTTCTCATGCTGAGAAAATTTGTAATGCATTTATACGAGTACGATACTTTTGCAGTTCATAAGTGACACCCCAATGCTTCATCCGCAGTGGCCTTGTCGAGGTAGGAGTTTTTTTCTATTGCGGTTTTCGGAGGCGACAATCTGCTGTCCGGTGCGCCCCCATCGCCTTTGAGTACTACTACACCTTTGTTCGCTAGCAGTTGCACCGGCGGCCCGGCGGAGGTCTCGGTAGAAGTTGAAGTATTGTGAAAAAAAATGTCCCCACCACATACGTCAAGATGGGAAATCTGCAACACAAACCCGGAAGTTGTGGGAGTCACGCATGACAAGTTCTCCTCTGTATCGTAGTGCAGCTTCGCAAGGACAGCCGCATCACAAAGCCATCTCCTCATCCTATTTGCAGCATCACAAATTCCAAAAGACAATTGGAAACGGCTCTCGTACTCGTGGGGATGCGCATTGCAAGTCTTCCTGTCTTTGCAAATCTGCATGACAACTCTGGGGTGGGGACGTTTTTACTTAAGATATGTCGTGCCGTTTGTTTGCGACGACGTTCTGGGCGGGAAGATCGGCTCGCATCTCGCTATATCAAATGTAAATATGTCTGGGTTGGAGAAGTGGAACTTGTGTTGCATGTCTAGCATTCCTGAAAAATCTGTGTTGCATAGACAGCAAAAGCGGTGCTTTTTTGTCATGCAAAGACGCAGTTTGTCATGCGTGCCACGCATCAGAAGGCGTCAAATGAATTTGTCATGCTTGGCTGCATTCGAAAGCACCAGACTGATCCATTCTTTAGCATCACAAGTTTCCAGACCCAGACATATTTGCAACGGATACGCTAACCCTTTCAGCGCCGTCCTGAGCTTCTTTTCCGGGCCAGCCTGAAACGACTGCAGCTCCGCGAGGCCGAGAAAGGTGTATGCATTGCAAATATAGTGTCTGGGTCTGGAACGAAGAATGCAAGTTTGTCATGCTCGTCCCAAAAGACTCTTAAATCTGTAATGCATGAGCAGGAAAAAAGGCTCTCTCCTGTCATGCAAATATGCAGTTTGTTATGCGGAAAGCGAAACACGCAGGAGCTCCAAAACTTGTCATGCGTGGCTGCGTGTTGCAATGCGCCCACCATTGACAAACTGGCATCACAAGTTAAGTTTCCAGACCCAGACATATTTGCAGTTGATAAGGTGAGGACAAAGACAACAGCGCCGGACATCGGGTGACAAACCCGGACGTCGGTGAGGCCTGATAATTTTCATAATTTTTTTCCTTCATACAAGAGCAATGCGACGTAAATGACCCCTGATTCCTCCGCAAGGAAGTAGTTTTGCGCACGAACAAAAGTTGTATCCAGCAAATATTTGCACCTACTTAGTACAGCACCTACTTAAGTAGAGCCCTACCGGCTCACAGAACTTTTTATACCTGCTTTCAGCGAGTAGAAGTCCCTGGCGGCGCGCTGTATGATCGTCTCGAATTCGATGACATCTTGTTCCGCACCGCAATTCAACGCGGTGAAGCCGATGATGTGGACAATTTCGCCCGTTCCGAGGCTGCATATGCAGGGGTCGTTCGGGTTGTATTTTGACGAACTCGAGACGGAGCGCTCACGAATGAGCTCGTCTGAAACAGGCTCCACCATTTTGTTGATTTTATTCCTATTTCTTCTACCGGCAGAAAAAGCCTGTTCGGGGATGGAAAATAGAACTTCGCTGGCCAATTATATACTGCTAGTATTGCGTCAGACAACCATGGACATAGTTAGGCGAGAATTTCTATGCATCACGTGTCTCCGCAACAATGGCTGAACGAATTTTCACCGTCAAAAAACTTTAGCGGGACATTAAGCGTTCTTCGCGACCGACTGGTAAAAAAGAAACTCAAATAAACAAGGGGCATTAACAGCAAACATCGCATTATGGTTTGGTTGGGCAGGCATGTCAAAGCAGAAAAACGCGGGGCGGCGAGGGGTAGAAAAATCGAAAGCCGCGGGCTCCTCTTGAGAAGGTACTACAAGCGTCCTTTTCGATCCTGTTCCATATTTTGTCGACCGAATCAGGTAAAGAGTCAAAATCGAATGCGTCATCAAAGGGTTAATATCACTCTGGCTGCTCAACCTCTAACTCGGTACGTTCGACTATTTGCGCAGGTTTAAGCAACGTGTCTCGACTGTCAAAACATGCATAGACGTAGCAAGATGAAGCTCCAATATGTCTCACTCATCTTCGAAAAAGAAAATCATTTTCAACAGCTGGATGAACACAGATATGTTGTGGAGGCCTATTCCGCTTGCTCCTCGCTGCTAGATGTTCACGTACACAACGACCAGCACAAACTTTGACAACTAGAAGGCAATCCAAAGAAAATTAATGCTTCAAAAAGAGCTTTTTGAGTACGACAAAATGCTCGACGGATGTCGACAAGAATGAACAAAGGGAAATGCTAGTAGTCTTGGTAGATATATCTTCGATTTCAACTGTATTGTCGTCAAAGGCAGCGAAGATCCAGTTCCTTTTGATACTGCTATAGACTGAGACTCTTAATGAGAATTTTTTCGTGAAGGTGAAGATCAAACTCAAAGAATGAAGCAATACAAAAAACAATATCATCGTTTGGTTCGAAAGAAGTTAAAAGGTATTACGCATATCAAACGCGAACAAGGCGCGAAATCCCTCGCGGAAACGAGCTAGCATGGATGAACGCTAAAAATGGTATCGGCAAAAACCAACAGTCTGTCATTGCCAAATCAATATTTTTGACACGAAAAGCTATCCTAAATCTAAGGAAGAATGCTGGAAACTGGAGCGAGCTCGTGGGAGGAGAGAGACGCAAAAAGACAACTAAATGGAAAACATATGAAACAGAGTGCTATGTTCTCGAGAATTCTTTTTCCCCCAGGATCGAGCTGTGAGACTGAGACATCGGTATGAAATGAAACCATAGAGGAGGAGGAGGAGGATCCTTCACGCCTGTTTTTAGCTATACATATTGCTACTCAAGTGGAACATGATGTCGCAGACCACCCGGAGGAAACGAGCAGGGAGGCACCGCTCTCAGGAGAAACACCTACTCGGCCAGCATTTGCTCCTGTTCCTTGTACCAGACGCGCCATGTTGCAACTACCACTCTTCGAGTTGCGGGCACTGAGGTACACTGTTGCAGCTTCTTCTCTTCGAGCCGCGGCCGGGTGCGCTCCGTCTGCTCACAAGCTTACCCTCTGTGGTGCGGCTGTCTACTCTGGGACGGTCCGGGGCTTGGGCGAGTTTAGGGTCATATCGGGCACCATATGTGTTAGGTGCTTGTCCCTTAACTCTGTAGACACTGCGCTGCCTCCGCCCTGGAGCAGCTTGAGGCAGAGCTCACCTCCCGATTTTGTCACGATCAGGCGCTTCAAGGTGGTAGCATATTTGTCATGCTGCCACCTTCTCTCGGGTGGTTCTGGCCGGACCTTCGTCTCGTTCTACAAAGTCCACGTCTACGAATGCAAGACGCGAACTTTAGCTGCGCCCTAAAAATCTGAGATTCTTCCACTAGGCGGCTGCGCTGGATCGTGGGGAATTCTAATATGTATGGATCCGCACCTTGAATCGAGAAAAGATAGAGATACATCTGGAATCTCTATCAGAGAAAATCAATATCAGGATCTATCGACATCTCAGCAGCTCCTGGTCCAGATGTATATCTTTTCTTCATTCTACAGGCTCCGCGCCCTCGTTTTCCGCTTTCTCGTCGTGGTCTAGTTTGCTTGTGCTTAGACTAGGCGTGACCTGCTAGCTTTCGTACTTGCACCTTGTACGCTCGTGGCAGTGGAAGAGAAGATGTGAACCCGTCCAAAGAAGATGTTGAGAGCCAGAGCCCGCCACAAGAAGATGAAACTCTGCCGGCGCTGTGGAGAGGGAAATCGCCGACAGGGACCATATTTCTGGATGGAATGCGCACACAGACGCACGGGGCGCTGAGGCTCTACCTACTTTCTACTGTAAATGGGCACAGCTGACCCGCCACGTACGGGTGTCTAACTATTTTGCTTCGAAACTCCATCGCGAGGAGTCGGGGGAGATACCGACGTGGCGTCAGTGGTGGGAAATGTGTGTGTGCGATGGGTCTAACAACTACTCTACGGCATAGCTCCCCCTGTTCTAGATTTTTCGGATCTCAGGCAACAAGGAAAAGCCTTGAGCCAAAATTACTTATACCAATTCAGCGAATTTATCATACAGGGCACGAAACTAACTTCTAGTAATGCAAAAACAGAACGAATGGAGCCAGGTCGTAGGTGCATATGCATACAGATAGACACAGATAAGAGATACGGCAGGCAAAGCTACAGGCAATGCAGAAACAAATTAATTAAATAGTTCTTTTGGTCTATGAGCTACTGCTATTCATAGATTGGCACTCCTGATTTCATTTCTAACACTTGAAATGAAACCATAGATACAGCATCTAGTACCCAATATCGCTATATTTCTGTGAAGACTTCTTTCGCTAGATTTGTCATGAATGATGAGATAACTTGAGCAACATGATTCATCTTGCTCAAGTTATCTTATTCGTTTTCGTCGTGCTTTTCACGACTTCTCAAAGAAAAAAGAAAAAAAACTAGATCCCCCCATCAAGAAAAAGTAAACTTGCAGTCGTAGGTACGTCGAAATAGGAGCACGGGTAAGTAAAGAGGCCTTTATTTTTAGATTCTGTTGAATAGACTTCGATTCTTGTTGGTGCAGGAGCACACTTGCAATTTTACTGAACGCAAATGCGTTCAATAAATTGCTTAAAATCATTGCAGCTGGCACGACTTACTTGGACTTGCGTCGCTTAAATCATCATGTGTCGCTTAAATCATTTGTGTCGCTTCAATCATTTGTGTCGCTTAGATCATTTCTTCTTGTGTCGCTATCGCTTAGAAGATAAAACTGTGCTTTATTTGCGTCGTGTAGAAGAAGATAAAACTTTTCTTTCTTTATTGTCATTGTGTCGTTTCGAAGATAAAGAAAATCATTCGCGGCAGAGAACCGCAGCTACTGCTAGCTTCAGAAAACAACAGCGCCTAACAAAACCTGAATCATTGCATGGAACAGAGTTTTGTGTGCAAAAAATATGGCAAAAAATATGTGCAAAATATGCGCAAAACATTTCTTGTTCAACTCCTCTCCAGCCACGCAATTACCACACTCGGCAGCACCATAGTGACTACGACGAGCGAGGCAAAGGCGGCTAGCAGAGGAAAGAAAAACGCGTCTCGGTGGTAGTAATCTACTGCGTTCGTGTAGAGATCAAAGCTGCTTTGTTCCTCGCGATCCTCACGATGAGCGCTGCGAGTGAAATAACTGAAAATCTTCATATTTTTGAACCTTTGATATAATCCACCTTGTTGTGAATCGTCGGCAGAATGATCTTCTTCCTGTTGCTCCACCATTTTCATCCCCGTACTGGCACTACTGCTGGGCTGCATATGCTCAAACGTCACCGCGAGCTTCTGTAACATTTCAACCGGTATTTTGGTCGATTCAGCCAGGTCGTTGATTTTTTCCAAGGTGGTACTACTACCCGGTAGTGTAATTGAACCTCTACCTCCACGACTACGCGCATTCATGTTCATCTTCTTCTTACTATCTGGTGTTGTTTTACTACTTCTGTTTGGGGTGGACGACCCCAGTGGGGTGAGGCTATCACCTGCTACATCTGGTTGAACGGCTTCGGCCTGAACAGGCTGGTCTGCTGGCTGCCCAGCGGAACTCATTTTGCGCTGTCTCTCCAGCTCGTTCAACTTCCGATCCACTTCATCGCCATAAAACCGAGTAGAGTCCTCGGCACTCTTATCTTCCTTCGACAGCGCCTCAAACAGCGTGAGAATCTGCTTCTTCCTCGACCACGCACCCAGCACGTTGTGCCGGTTCAAAAAGTACACTTTCACCGGAGGGTTCACCGTCGGATCTACCTTCACTTGTGAAGATTTCTTGCTACGGATATTGGTGATTGGCGACATAAAATTTTTATCTCCAGATGAACAACAAGTGCCGTTTTGATGTAGTTTCTTCTTGTTTTCATCTCCACTACAGAAAAAGCCCCTCTCGTCGATGTCCAGCGGGCCGCCGAAGTGCGATTTTTCGGTGCAAACGGACTGATTGCAACTACTCCTGTCGGAGGTAGCGGCTAGGGTAGTTAAGGACACGCCACTGGATGAGCGAGGGGAGGAAGAGGCGACGTCTTGTAGTCTGGCGACGTCGAGGCTGTTATTGTTGTTCACAGCGGCCTCATCTCGTCGTGCTCCTGTCGTCCTCCTGGTAGTCGGATTGTTCACAGTGGCCTCATCTTGTCGTGCTGTCGTCCTCCTGGATGAAGTAGGATTGTTCAGACCCTGACCAACGCTTCGATTTACTTCCTGAAAAGCTCCTCTCGTCCGTGGTCCCCCGTGCTGCACCCTTATCGCAAATGGATCGGTGTAGTGGTCTTGACTCTGATCTTCACGTGAGAACTGCTGCCCTTGTTGGATGTTGGAGGGCGGCGCCAAAGCTGGGCCTAGTACAGGATGATGTTGATGAACTACCGCTGGACCACCACCAGGAGTTCTGCGATAATTCCTATTCAACATGCGCACGACCTGCACGCTCCCTGTGTTGACAATTCCCACAACTCTTTCCGCGTCCCGTGCCTGCTGTTGGGAAATCGAAAAAGTGGCCCTACTTTGCCTTTGGGCCGCTACAATTTCAACATCATGATCATCTCTCGCATTTCTACCAGCGCGTGCGTGGCGGCCCGGCGCGGAATCATGCTGTTGAGCCAAAAAGCGATTTAGAGTTCCGTCCGACCGAAGACCGCCACCTATATGGAACTGTCAAGATTGAAATTGACAAAGTTGAAAAATTTGTGATGCATAAAATCGATACCAGTTGGAAGCCCAATTTCTAAGCGGTGCATGACAAATTTAGGCGCCGTCTAAATCCAGTCTGTCATTCTGTTTAGGGACAGAAGGCGTCCCTTGTGATGCTACTTTAGCAGCTCTATCGCAGACCCCAAACAGGCTGACAGT